CTTATAGGTAGATGGCAGAGGGGCTTGGGAAGGTTGGAACCTGGGAGGATTTGTGGGGTCATCCAGAGAAACAAATGAGAAGTCCTGAGCTCCTTGTTTCAGTACCTTTGGCGAGGTGGGGCATAGTTGGGGTGACTGCTACTTGGGACTCTGGGGCCTTGCTGGGACTGTGAGGACAAGGAGCAAGGAAGGGTTGGCTTTGTGTGTGACCTGCCACAGCAGCTTTCCCAGTAATAGAGAGGCTGCTGTTCTCTGTGGCTCTTGTTCCTGATTGTTTCCTTTCAGGCTAGATTGAGGGTTGATGGAATTTCTCCTACGGGTGGGGTAGGGAGGGTGCTGGAGAGTGAAGGGGAATCTTGAATTCTGTCCTTTGTGTGCTTTCCGAAACACAAATACACACACCCACACACTGTTCCATGCTAGAGAGAAAATGTACCCCAAATGCATAATTACGCGAGGACAAGGCACACCAGGAGTCTGCTTCTCGCTGTCCTCTGCAACTCTTGAGGGTTCGTTCTTTGTAAACCCAGAACAAGGGTTGTGGTAATCATGAGTTTGGGCCCAGGGGGACTTTCACAGTGAGGAATTGTCCATTCTTTCCGGGAATCTCATTGCTTTCATGTCCCATCTAAGCCAAACATTGAGATTCGGCCCTGCCACTGGCTCCAAACCCGGAGAATCCTTGGTTAGGGCCAGAGCTGTGCCAGCACTGCTTGGAAATCCAGAGTCTTTATCCTCCCCATCTTTAAGGCTTCATATTCTGCTCCTGGGCGTAGTGTAATCAAAGGGTCATGTTCTGTCAGAGGTGATTCTGCCAACTTGAGTTTTTGGCTATTTTTATGGTTCCTCCTTCTGGAAGACTTGAATCAGATTTTCCTAACCTCTGTCCTACTCCCTTTCTTCCTGGAGTCAGCTTCCTGTTTTGTATTTCTTAAACAGACTCTCTTCTAGGGTGGAGTAGTGATTTTATCACAGAGTGATTTTATCCACTGTATTAATTAGAGTATTGCTAGCAGAGGTCCCACATCTCACAGTTTTAGTGGCCTGGTACTTGTCTCTTGTTTACATAGTGGTCTGGAGTGGGTGTTCTGGGTTGGTGTGTGACTTTCTTCTACTAGGAAGAGAGTGATTCGGAGATCCAGGCTCTTTCCATCCTCTGATGCCATTATTCCAGCTCGTGGAAGGGGGAGGAGTATGGAGAGGGCACATTGCTTTTTAACTGTCCTGACCCAGACATCACCTCGGCCCCACATTCCATTGGTAAGAACTAGGCATGTGACTCCACCTAGCTGCATGGGGACCTGGGAAATGAAATCCTAGACGGGAATATAGTTGTTGGCAACAGGTGGGGGTGTGTTATCATCACCTAAGGCAGGGCATGGATAAATGCCAGTGTGGATGATCCTGAAAAATTCTGATACATGGCTGTTCTCTGAGTTTGGAATGGGTCAAAAAGCTTTTGGGGAAGAGAACATGTTTGAGCTGGATTTTAAGAGGTGGCTAAAGTTTTTTTTTTCCCTATTTATAGATGTGCTTTATTTGGCTGTGTATTATTTACATTGTTTGAATTCAGTGCCAACCCTTAAAAGTTAGGTGATCTCTCACAAACACACATCTATTTAGCTTCTGAAATACTGCAGGGTGGGAACATGTGGCTTGCATTCTAGCATGAAAGGACTCAGAGCTGAGAAGAGCTGCTCTCTGGAAAAGTTACTTCCTTATCCTGCTTTACTTACTTAGTTTAATTGCCTGTACCCCAAGACATTGAAGTTTGAACCCACAGTTACAATCCCTGCTGGTCTGAAAAATGTGTTATTTTCGTACTGCTGCTGTAACAAATGACCACAGACTTAGTGGCTTACAATAACAGAAACCTATTATCGTATAGTTCTGGAGTCTACAGTAGGTCTACAGCTGTGTTTTTTTCTCGAGGCTCCAGGGGACAGTCTGTTTCCTTGCCTTTTCCTGTTTCTAGAGGCCACCTACATTCCTTGGGATGTAGCCCTTCCTTCACCTTCAGAGATGACTAAGGTTTTAACTAGGTAGAGGAAAAAGGTTCATTTTTCCTTCTGCTTGTTCGTTTTTTCAGCAGATACTGGTTAAGGGCCAGACCAGTACGTGTTACCTATGCTGTGATAGGGTTAGGGATGGGGACAAAAAAAGACAAATACCCCGGACTCATGGAACTTCTATTTTGGGGCAGGTTAATACAATAATAATGTAAGAAAGAAGAGAGCATCTAGAAAAATGTGCTGTACTCAGAGGTAAAGGCCAAGTGGCCACTCTGGGTGGTCCAGGCAAGCCCCTCTGCGGGGGTGACATCTGATCTGAAATGCAGTGATGAGAAGGAGCTTGCCGTGCCACCATCAAGGAGAGCCTTTGGTAAGCACAAGAAAGAGCCTGTGCAAAGGCCCCGAAGCAGGAATGAGCTTGGGAAGTACAGAGAACAGAAAGCAGGCAGTGTGGCTTGAATGTCTCGAATGGCTGGGAGAGTGGAGGAGAGCTCTGAGAGGACGGCAGGGCCCAGTCGGGCAGTTCATTGGACACTGGGCTGGGTTTGGGTTTTATCCTAAGTATGATGGGAAGATTTCGGCAGGTTTTGAACAGGATGCTAACAGGGCCTACAGAGACATTTGGGAAAGCTCACTCTGAGTGTGTGCGAAGAATGGGTTTTTGGGTCCTTGGTCGAGGTGGAGATGTTGGAGGCCTAGACTGAATGCTGGTCTTAGAGATGGAGAGAAATGGTGGTTTTGGAGAAAAAGCCAATAGCTCTGCTTCCTTGTTTCTTTTTCCCAGCATGCTAAGGCTTTGGCTTATTTTAGACCTTTTTCTATTCTCTAGGGAGAATGTTCTTGGGTTTTGCCAGCTCCACTGCTGGGGGAAGAGTGGGAGGCCCAGGCCCAGTGCTTGTCTGGACCCTGCCTAGCCTGTTGGTGTGGAGGTGACAGCTTCGGTCAGTGACGGCTTCCTGGCATGTTGACTACTTAGGTCATGTCTAGACATTCTTGCCCAGACCTTGTCTTGATCCCAAACCAAACATGTTCACCTGCTGTTAATTCCACCTCCCTTTGGAGAAACCTGCCTCCTTCCTTTGTGGATAGGCAACTCCTCTGAGAGGCCCTGTCCCTCCCCTCGGGCTTGCCCGGGACGGGTGGGGCATTCCTGGAGAGGTGCGTCCCTGCCTGGAAGAGTCTGGCTGTGCCAAGATGAGCAGTACTTCTCTGCCTGCCCTTTGCTGGCATCCTCACTGTGTGTCACAGGTGGGTGAGCCCCAAGCAGGGGAACCTCCTTGTCCAGCAGAAGTGTCCGCTGGGTCTTCCCCATTGTGTACTGTGAGTTAGAGCACCAGACTTACTTTCGTTGACTTAGTTTGCCCAGCCTCTTGGCTGCTTTCTCATCGTTCAGGAAGAAACTAATACTCTCTGTTCCATTGCATATATGCAGCCCTCTCAGCTTTCTGGTGAGTTGTTTTAAACATTAACTTACTCTTCCTCACAGCAACCCCAGGAGAAGGGAGGGATCTCCTCTGCCCTCCATTTTTTACTTGCACCCAGTGATTACTGGGTTGTAATCAAATGAGAATTCTGCAGTTCATAAATGCTGCTGGGGGCCATTTCTTCTTGTTCTTAGTGCTAAGATCAAGTGTTCTTCTCTGTTTTGGGAATAAAACATGTGCCTGCTGGCACTTGCTGCAGTCTGAAGAGAGCTGTTTTAGAAATGAGGAACTGAGCCTGAGAGATGCCGTGAGCCTTGCTGCGGACCACATCGCGGGGCCTGCTGGTGGCAGGTGTCACCTAGAGCCCTATTGTGGTTCCCTCCTCTGGCTCCTTTGGCATCCCCATGGGTAGCGGTCCTGTGGCCGCTTTGGGGCTGTGGCTGCAGCTACCTTGGTAAAAGGGACAGGAGTGAGACGCGGATGCCTTCTCATCCCTACTTTGTTTGTCTAAAAAGGCCTTGGTCCGGCTGCCCCACACTCCATCCTCAGCATTCTTAACCCCGCCGGGTCCTTTAGCTCCAGAGAAAGCTGCCAACAGAAGGAGCTGCAGCTCTGGTTTCCGGCCCAGCACATCCTGGCCCTGCTGCTGACCTGGGGGTGGGCAGGTTGATTAAAGTTTCTGTCTTCACCCTTCAGGTTTCTCTTTTGCCAATAGTCTTGTTCTGGAGAGTTGTTATGAGGATGGGAGATGATGGGTCATATGGCAGCTGCATGGCCGAGTGCCTCACAGCCCAACTTCAAGGCCTACCTCTGCTGTTCATGGGACTTTGGAGAAGTTACTTAACTCTCTGTGCTTCACGGGCTGTTGGCGGAAGGCACCCCGTGGCCATGTACCCTCTGCACGGGAATGAGAACCTACTGTGTTCTCCAGTCTCCCACCCCTTGCATTTAGAGGCAGGGGAATGGCAAAGACCTGGTTTGGGTTATGACGTTTTCTTTTGCTGAAGCCTCCTGGGTTGGAGGGAGCGTTTCCATGTATTTCCTAATAGGAAGGGACAGGGTCTGCATAGGAGCGATTGGTGATGCTGCCTTGGAGGGGAACCCACACAGGAAGTTCAGAAACAAGCTCATGCCTAAAGAGATCTCAGAGAATTATTGGCACCTAAAGCAGAAATTCAGCCTTTCCCTTCAGAAAAATAACAGATGCCTAAATGTCAGTGGTAAGGAAGGGAGAAGGCTGTTGGTTTGTTTTTTGAGTAAGATGTCAGTGAGGAGATCACAGTTTATTATGTTTTGTCTTGATTTGCTTTTTGTTCTCCAGAAGAAGAAATAGAGGCTGGCGGGAATAGCCCTCTTAGCCCTTCATTAATTAGGGTCTTCTGCTGTGTGCGCCATTTGTTTTTCATGTTCAGCTTGACTTTTCTGCTAGGCTGTCTGTTCCTCGATGGTGCCCAGGCTTTGCCAGCCTCTGTGTGCCTGCTGGGCCTCGCACACAGCTGAGCACGTGGAGAGCGGTCGCCCGTGACCGGTCAAGGTCCACTTCTCCTTCCTTTTTGTTTTCCAGAGCGAGTACATTGCTCCGTGTGACTGTCGGCGGGCCTTCGTCTCTGGATTTGACGGCTCTGCGGGTGAGTTGCTAAATTCTCTCTTGGTTCTTTCTGTACTTTCGTTCGCTTCCCAAAAATAACTGGGCCAAGTTTCAGCCTGTGACAGAACCAGAAAGAAAATGTAAACCAGACACTCCCCCCTGGAGCCTCTGCAGAGAGGTGTGAACTCCCAGCATCCCCCAGCTCTCAAAGTTCACCTTTCAGTGGCCGTTTTCTTGATGCTTTTGCTATTAAAGTTTTATTTATTTTTCTTACTTATTTTTTTTTTTGCTCTTAAAGTTTTAAAACATTTTTCTTTAAAAACGTTTTGAACTTTTTATTGAATATAGCATACATACGGAAAATTACATCAATTAAACTGAAAATACCTGTTTAACTAGTACTCTACATAAGAAATGGGACCCTCACCGCACCCCAGAACCTCTGCCTCAGCTTGCTGGTCCTGTGTAATAACAGGTTCAATAATTTCACTTTCAGTTTAAATAACAGAGGTTCATGTTGAGCTGCATTGCTGCCCTGCCCTAACTTTTCCAAAACCGTGCTCCTGAATTTTCGGGTGATTTCTCCCCGCCTCAGATTCCCTTCTGTTAAGCTAGCTAGGCTCCTAGGCTCGGGAAGAACTGCTTCCTTTCATAGACGTGCTCGTGTTGGTTGGCCGCTCTGCCAAAAGCCCCAGGTTCTGTGGGGCCTGTGGGGACTGAGGGCAGGTAGGGGTGGGAGGCGTGAACTCCCTGCTGGTGACCAGCGAGTCACTGTGAGTACTGAGACTCCGCTTGGTTTCTCTCAGGAAAGGTGCAGCAGTTCCCTCGGGGCATTTGCAGGAGCAGACTGTTGTGATCACTGTGCTGGAATCCTCTCCACGTCTGTCTTGTTCAATATGAGACCATTTTGACTGCAGGTGCTTAGCCCCCTGTTCTGCCGGTCTTGCAAGTGGGGTTTTGTGCTGGGACCAGTCAGCTGGGGCTGCCTGAGGACTTCTTCCTTCAGACCGTGACCTGCAGCTGGTTCTCAGGGGCATCGACTTCTCTAGCCTAGACCTTTTCAGAGGCCCACCTGTCCCCTAGAGTGAGTGGTGGTGTGAGGCTGGGCCGCACAGAGCCGGTGCTTCTCACTGGGCTTGCTGGCCTGCTGCTGTCATGTGCGGTTGTCTATGTGGTTGTCAGAAGCCTTTCTTTTTTTTTTTTTTTTTTTTTTGCGCCCCTGCTCCAGGCACGGCCATTGTCACGGAAGAGCACGCGGCCATGTGGACTGACGGACGCTACTTTCTCCAGGCGGCCAAGCAGATGGACAGCAACTGGACGCTCATGAAGATGGGTGTGTAGAGGCTCAGCCAGACCGACTTCAGCTGGCCAGCTCTGGGAAGGGACCTGAGCATTCCTCAGGGTGTCTGGATCTTAACCCTTTGATGAGGTCAAGGACCCTTTCGAGAATTCAGGGTGTGTTAGTCCTCTTGGACTGCCATAACAAAATCCCATGGACTAGGTCCCTTAAACAACAGAAGTCTGTTTTCTCAGCTCTGAAGGCTGGAAGTCTAAGATCAGGGTGCCAGCCTGGTCAGGTTCTGGGGACAGCCCTCCTCCCGATTGACAGACAGCTGCCTTCTCACTGTGTCCTTACCTGGCAGAGAGAGAGATCTCTCTTCTGAAAGGGCCACTGATAGTATGAGATGAGAGCGCCACCCTTATGACTTAAACATACAAGTTTTGGGGGATGCAACCCAGTTCATGGTGCAGGAAAGCCCCCTTTCTCTCACATGCACACGCACACGCACATGCACACCCAGAGGCAGACATTTATTATAAATGGACAGGTGGCGGACTTTAGACTTTCTGACTGCCTGCCTCTGTTACGGTGTGTGCACCCTGCACATATGTGTCTACTCGTGTCTGTGTGTGTACATACGTACTGGTGTCCATCTGCATTTCAGAAGTGAGCACAGGTTAATTTCTTTATTGTTTAGAAAAAATAGACATCTTAATACTTTCTGCTTCACCCCAGTGGATCATTCAGTCTACCCCTGGAGTATGGGTATCTTTGGGGCCCACTTCTCCAGCTGTCAGCACACTAGGGGTCAGAGTGTCAGAGGGGCAAATTCTATCTGCCTGCTCCTTCATGTAGGTATGTGGCGGCCCTGGGGAGGAGTCCTCCTTCCTTCCAAGTCCCTCTCTACTTCACTGTGTCTTTCCTAAGCCCCCCCTTTCCTCAGGCATCTCTCCTGTGCAGGGAAATTCTGGTGGGTTTGGTTGGGGAGTGAATCATCCCTGGGATTTTGCCAGCTATCTGTCTGCTAGGAAATAGCATGACTTCATCCTATAGAAGTCATACTAGGGGCATTAAAAGAAACTTCGTTAGTAAGTGGCTTTCTAGCGGTTTGGAAAGAAATAGCCAAGAATCAAATAGCAAAATAACAACTCAGTGCCAGCTTTTAGGCAGTTTTTTGGAATTGAGATTTATGAGCTCATTTCTTTATAAACCTTTGAACTTCCCCTCTGTGGTTATGTGGTTATCAGCAGTCATGAGGGAAAACAGTAAAGATAAGTACTGTTTTAGAACATACGAACTTTCACTCTAAATATAGATCTATTTCACCAAGAAGTTAACTTGTTAGTAAAAATTTGATCAGTTAAGAAGCATACATCCAAACATAGAAGGTATTGGCTCAGATTAAAGAAAAACTGGAATATCAAAAATAACTTTAGTTCCTTTCTTGAAGCTCATTTGGTGTCCTGTGACTAGTCTCTTGGAAACGCAAAGGGCTGTTTGCTCTTGGGCATTGGGAAGCCAGGGAGCCATCATAAAGATGATGGTGACTGGACTGTGTGGCCCTCTTGTAATCTTTGGAAAGATTTCTTTGCTGGTGAGACTTGTGTCAGCCGTCCAGTCGGGCCTGGTTCAGGGCTGGGAGCCTCCTGTCTACCATCCTGCCTTCCAGTGAGGGGAGAGCACTGTGGCACGTGTTTCCCTTACCTGGTGTGAGATGTGAGGAAGGTCCCCCGCTCCCAGCCTTCGCCATTTGCCACCCAGGTGCTCATCAAGTGCCCAGGAGTGGCAAAGTGACCAAAGGCTGAGAGGATGTCCTTTGCAATGACGCTTGTACCTTTGTTGCAGTGGTTCCCAGGATGCCATTTTTACCAGGAGTCAAATGAAAATCTGCCTGCCTTTCTTTCTTTCTTTCTTTCTTCTTTCTTTCTTTCTTTTTTTTCTTTTTCTTTCTTTCTTTCTTCTTACCCCTATGTTTTGTTTTTTGTTTTAAAGATTTATTTATTTTAGAAGAGAGGGAGAGCACAAACAGGAGGGGCAGAGGGAAAGGGAGAGAGAATGTCAAGTAGACTCTGTGCTGAGTGTAGGGCCCGATGCGAGGCTCAGTCCCACACACCTGAGATCACGACCTGAGCCGAAACCAAGAGTTGGACGCTTAACCATCTGATCCACCCCAGGTGCTCCATCATATGCTTTTACATATACCATCTTACCCTTCTTGCAGCCTTCCAGGATTGAGGAAAGTTCCGATTTTCCAAGTGCTGCCCGTCCACCTTATAGAAAGAAGGTGCTTTGTAAAGACCCTGTTAACATGATGTTGGTGAATTGCATCCTTCTGGGTAGGACTACAAGCTTGGGTGCATTGGGGATTGTTTCTTCTACTTTCTTCCCTCTCTAGGTCTGAAGGACACACCAACTCAGGAAGACTGGCTGGTGAGTGTACTTCCCGAAGGATCCAGGGTTGGTGTGGACCCACTGATTATTCCTACAGGTGAGTGAGCTGGAGTCCTTCCAGCGTGGGTGAGGACGTGGATTCTAGATGGTTCTCCATATTCCTAATTTGCTTGTGGGACTTGGATCATCGGGGGCTCAGTATAACTTGATGTCATGATCAAGGTCAAGGTGAAGAAAAGAGTTCTGGCAGAGAGGCAGGGGAAGGCTGTGGGTGGTGAAGATAACCTTTCCATAGTTCCCCATCCTGCAGACCCAGCGCTAGGCCATGGGAGGATCGCCTTTCAGAAGGCACTGTTGTTTCCCTCAGCTGAACTGGCATTTGGTTCATGCACGGCTGGGCCATGTGTATTTCTCCCCAGATTACTGGAAGAAGATGGCCAAGGTTCTGAGAAGTGCAGGCCACCACCTCATTCCTGTCAAGGAGAACCTTGTGGACAAAATCTGGACAGACCGTCCTGAGCGCCCGTGCAAGCCTCTCCTCACACTGGGCCTGGATTACACAGGTCAGACCCCCACTGCACCCAAAGGGCCCCCAGCCATCGTCCCCATTCCCTGCACCTGTCATCGTTCTACCCATGCCAGCCCACCGCATCAGAGTTGAACCTGTGGCAGGATTTTGCCCCATCCTGGCCCAGTGGCATTGGATGGAAGCAGGAGCTTTTTATGTTTCCGCGGTGGCCACCTACTTGCCACTTATTTTGCATAATTTATTCTTGCCATGCTCTTCTGGGTAGACCTTTGGCCACTGCTGAGATGGCTTTTTTACTTTTTATTACTTTTTTTACCACACTGTTGCTAACTGCCTCTATGACATGTCTGATATTGGAAGCAGGGCCAGGGCAGGGGGTGGTGGGTTCTAGGTTCCATTTCCTTTTCTTCTGCCCACATCTGTAGGTTTACCTTCCTAGCTCCCCTACCCCACCCCCGCATCTAGAAACCTTCTGCTCTAGTGGCTTTGGGCGTGGGTGGGTTTCTTTGGCCTGTGTGTTAGTGGTTGGTGAGGAGTGAGCACTGCGAACCATTCGTGGGAGTTGAAAGTGTGGATTTATGGAACGGCGAGGGCTGCAGAGAGAGGCCAGGGAGGTGGGGCTGTCGGGGAGGGAGGCGTGCGGTGCAAACAGAAGAGGAGAGGTGGATGGGGGATGTCTGGAATGTAGGCAGATTGCCCAGAGGGGTCCTGGGAAGAAAGCATTACAGCCCAGACTCTTGCCAAGTTTTAAACAGCATTCCCGAGCTGATCTTCAAAGCGGTGCTGGTTGTGGGGGCAGCCCCCAGCTTGCTTTCCCCGTGACACCCTCACTGGAGGGTTGCGTGGATGGAGGGGGATAGGTCCGGTGAGTGGCCCAGGGTCAGCTAACCATTTTCCATGAGCATGTTTTGAATTTTTTTAAAACTGAATCAGAGGCTCAAACTTGTTACTTTTAGGAGAGGGAAGAGCAGATGGGGGGTGGGGGGATATGCTTTTGTTTGGGCAAACATGCGTGCCGACTACATGCGGGACACTGTGCCAGCTGCTGGGTGAATATGGCAGATGGTTACCCCGTTTCCACAGGGGTGTAACCCGAGTTGTAAGTGCTGTGTCATGGCGGGTGAAGGTGGTGGTTGTGGTGGTGATGGGGTGAGCTTCTCTAGGGCTGCAGTTTCATCTGGAGAGCCATAGGGAGATCCTGGCTGTGACAGGGCAAGTGTGATTTGGAAGCAATAGTCACAGTGAGTCAGATGGCAGGGAGTTCCTAGGTCTTGCACCAAGACGTGAGTCTCTGGGCTCCAAGAACGCAAGGTGGTGGGTGATATTCCCCTGGCTTCTAGGACTGGCTCAGTTTTCTCTGCCAGGCAGTATGTTCTCATAGCAACCTGTACAGAGAAATGTGACTGTTGCTGAATTAATTGTTGGTCTTCCCTTCTAGATTATAAGCCCCAAGGGCAGGGGCTGGGTATCTTTCAGAGCTGGAACTGCAGTGACCAGCACAGTGCCTGACAGGTAGCTATGCCTGGGAAGTCTAGATTTTTCATGCACATTTGTTGGATGAACAGATGCGTTAATTTTGTGGGTGAGGCAGTCAGGGCTCTCGAACGTCAGACAGAGTTGGACAGAGGTTTGAAGCCAGCACTCCTGTTTGCTCCAGTAACACGCTCCCTCTAAGATGTAGCTGCTGGTTAACAGTGTTTGGGATGGGTTCTTCCACTTGGCTCCCGTGGGTCCCTGGAGCCAGAGTCGCAAGCACATCTGTTTCTTTCTTTCTTTCTTCTTCTTCTTCTTCTTTTTTTTTTTTTTTTTAAGATTTTATTTATTTATTTGACAGAGATCACAATTAGAGAGGCAGGCAGAGAGAGAGGAGGAAGCAGGCTCCCTGCTGAGCAGAGAGCCCCATGCGGGGCTCGATCCCAGGACCCCGAGATCATGACCTGAGCTGAAGGCAGAGGTTTAACCCACCGAGCCACCCAGACACCCCAAGCACATCTGTTTCTTGCAGGCATCTCCTGGAAGGACAAGGTTGCGGACCTTCGGCTGAAAATGGCTGAGAGGAACGTCGTGTGGTTTGTGGTCACTGCCCTGGATGAGATTGCCTGTAAGAGCTCTGGCTTGACTGTGTGGGCGTGTTACCCAGTCGCTTTCTTGGTTCTCTGGGAATCTGTGTGTTCAGGCCAGTCCGCTTTCTGCGTGGCCAGGGAGTAAACAAGAGACTATGTCACCAATGGGTATTTGATACACCGAATAGGATGGAAAAAAATACAGAGAATTTGGAGAGGAATGTGGCTTTGCCCAGAGCAGTATTTCAGCTTGGGGTTGATGTTAAATCAGAGATGATGTCCACCTCTGGCCAGTCTCTTCAGGACTGTGACACTGTTGAGGAAGGACATTTCTTAACGTTTTGTGTCTGTCAACACTCATGAGTCTCTAGCTGCAGAAGTGGCATCCTAGGAGATTATTTTTTTCTCTACACTTTTCCTCTAGTTCCCTAAGTTCTTAACAGTGAGAATGTTCTCGAAATTCTTTGACCTCAGAAAACTCAGAAACTGAAAATTCTTCAGCCTTTTTGATACAGTAATAGTTTGTGAATCTTTATGTAACCCTTATGTAATTGTTTCAGAACCTGAAGGAATCTGGTTGAACCTTCCTGTCCTGTCTTTGTTTTCTGATGGGATTTGGCCCAGGGTAACTGAGAAGAGGCAGTACCTTATCGTTTTATTTTCTCACTAGAGAAAGTGACCTTACTACACAGTGTCCTATCTTTCCAGTCCCCAGCCCCAAAACTTCGTCAAATATCAGTGATGCTTGACAGGCCTGTGTCAGTGATTAATATTCTTAATTAATTAACAACCTTGACAATAGAGAAAATAACATATATAAAGTTATTTTCTCCCTTTGATTTTAAGAACACACATTCCTGTTGTGGAAAAGCTGGAAAATGTAAAGGAAGTAAAAAGCAGAAAAAACTCACCTATTGTTTCGTTACCCAGAGATAGTCCCTGTTAATAGTCTCTGCAGGTATATATTTTATAGCTTGATTTTTCCAATGTATCAGTATATTCTAAGCATATATAATAATACAGTAAAAAGAAATACCTAATCATATGGTTATACCGTAATTTACTTAATGATTACTCTAAGGATGACCTTTGGGTTTATTTTCTGATTTTTCCATGACTTTATTATGATGCTGCCATCAAAATCTTAGCGCATCAAAGTCTGTGTCTTGGTTTCTGGTGATTTTCTTCTCTTTGAGGTTGGCTTTTAGGGGCGGTATTACGGGTTAGAGGGTGTGTGCCTGGCAGAGCTTTTGGACCCGTCTTGACATTTACCTGCAGGGACATGAATATGGCCGTCCGGCCACACCCTCGCCAGTCCCGGGTACTGTCATTTTTAAAAAGTGCTAGTCTGATAGGTAAAAAATGTTGCTTCATTGCTTTACTGTGAGAAACCATTGTTCTCAAATAGAGGCAGCACTTTTCTCACCAGGGTCTCTTTTATACTTTTTTATACTTCAGGAGAGCATCAGGCAGCTGGAAGCTAGGGGACCGGGGATAGCGATGCTCTCTGCTGGCCTCCGTAGTCTCTTAAACCTACGACCTCCTCAAACCCCCTCCACGCTGGCTGTAGGAGGGTCCTCCACCCTGGTTTGGCACCACAGCCTACCCTTGGGTGGGCTCGGATTTGGGTTTCATTCATGGGCCCAAGCCCTGCTGACTCACTGCTTTTGTTCCTGTGTTGGGAAGCTCCACCTCCTTGGGGCTCCGTGGCTGTGAGCCAGAGGGCCTTATTTGGGCTCCCTCATCCTGGGTGGGTCTAAAACTGAGAGAGTGCTTGGCTCTTTTCCCTTCTCTTGGGAGAGCCAAAGGTTTTCCCTGTGGCCAGGCCAGGCCTGGCAGGTCACCACCAGGCGGACCATTTCAACTCTCTGTTTGGAGGGTCATCCTCAAGTTTTTTGACTGACTTCCATTCTGTTCCCGGGATGGTGATGTGGCAGCATAAGATACAGTTCTGGTGCCATCGTTTGGTGGACGTGAGCAACTGCAGCCCAAAGGTGGAACCAGGAAGTCAGGTTTTCTGCTTTTCTGAGATGTCACGGAATCCTTCCACGGAAGCCTTCCATGCATGCCAAAGTGCTTCCCTCTGTAATCTGCCTGTTCAAGTCTCGAGTCAGGCAGGTGACAGGGTCTTTTTATTTTATTTTTTTTTAAGGGCTGTTCAATCTCCGAGGGTCAGATGTGGAGCACAATCCGGTGTTTTTCTCCTATACAATCATAGGATTGGAGACGATCATGTGAGTGTTGGCCCCACACCGGAAAATCCTTCCTTCCTCGCAGCTCCTCAGAGGTTCTGTCCCCCTTGCTGGCCAACCCCATCCCTGCCTGAGACTGCTGAGGTGCCACTTTTCCCCTTTCCTGCCTCTCTCTTCCTTTCCCTTCTGGTCCTCCTAAACACTAGGTATTTTTTACATCCTGCCTCTCTCTTAATCTCTCAAATGACTTGAGATCTATGAAAGAAAGTATCTCTAGTACTAGGAGATTAAAAAAATAAGTAGGCACAGACATCAGAACAAAACCACAGTGAGAAAAAAACAAAAAACCAAAACACAGTGAGGTTAGTTCACAAAATTTCTGCTGCAAGGTCTTGGTCAGGCCCCACATTTGATTCTAAGTTTTGTAGCAGCCGGTGCAAAGGGAGATGTGGCTACGCTCCATTGTACAATCCGGGGTCCACAATTCAAATAAACTGAGGCATTTGGAAGGTCAGAAATGACACAAGAAAACCCCCGCAGTTGTGGTTTGTCGAATTGTCTGTAAAGAATTGCTTGTGGCCTCCTGTGGTTGCTCTTCGATTTGGATGGCTCTCTCTATTCTGATAATGTTTATTAAGTTGAAAGGGTCTCTCTTGGGTGCTAGGACGATTGAGATAGGCAGGGTCCTGGGCTAGAGCTGGGGAGATGAGTGTCTCTTCAGGGGATTCAGGCATCTTAGTGGGCACTGACTTGTCAGTGGGATGGGTATGGGTGTTACTGGAGGGGCCTGGCCTCCACTGAGGGGGTCAGAGGAGACTGACCAGTAATAATTGAAGCAGAGATCAAGGGCACATGTGAGTTGGCTCAGTGAATGGGGAGCAAAGGGAATGGTGATCTAAGCAGAGGGAACAGCATGGGCCATGGCTCTGGCTAGGAGAGAGCACAGGGCTTGTGGAGGACTGGAATGGTTCAGTGTGGTTGGAACGTGGAATGTGAGGCTGGAAGGGGAGTGGGGCCCCATAAAGGAAGGCCAGTGAGACAAGTCCAGGAGCTTGGACCTCTATTCTGAGGACACAGGGGAGCTACTGAATGGATTTTTCATAATGAACCACATGATCAAGTTTGCAAATCATAAAGAATACTGTGGCTGTGAGACTGGGGTGTCCAGGGGCAAGACTGGATGTCGGGAGACCAGCTCAGAGGCCATGGCACCAATCCAATGGAGAGACGGTGGTAATCTGAACCCGGCTGGTGACTGGGCAGGGCTGGAGGCAAAGCTGGACAGACTTGATGGGGATTTAGACTGTAGGTCTGGAGATCTTAGCGGAGGGGAGGAAGGACATCAGGGACAGTGCCCAGGTCCTGGCTGGGGGAGTGAGATGGATGGTGATAACATATACAGGGATGGGGACACAACTTGGAGAACAGGATTTGGGAAGGGAATGGGGAAGAAGGAGAAGCTGCTTGGTTTTGATTGTTAGAAGATGGAGCCCGTTGTATATCTGTGGTCCCCCACTCCCCCCGGTCTCGCTCACATGCCCTCGTCTCTCTGTCACCTCACCTCTCGCCCCTCTGCAGGCTATTCATTGATGGTGACCGCATAGATGCCCCCAGTGTGAAGGAGCACCTGCTGTTTGACTTGGGCCTGGAAGCTGAATGCAGAATCCAGGTGCTTCCCTACAAGTCCATCCTGAGCGAGCTCAAGGCTCTGTGTGCCAATCTCTCCCCAAGGGAGAAGGTGTGGGTCAGCGACAAGGCCAGCTATGCCGTGAGCGAGGCCATCCCCAAGGTTGGTAGTCCTGCCGAGGCCTGTTCACAGCCTGCCACGTTCCTGTTGCAGCCCCTTCCCAGTCCTGGCATCCTGCAGCTTTGTCTTTGACATAGAGGTTGTTCTGGACGATCTCTGGGACTGGCTCTCAGACCGGAAATGCCCTCTCCCTGGAAGAGCCATTTGGGCTGAGCCATATTGAGAGTCTGAGGGTCTGTAGAACTCAGGGAGTCCTCTGTGTTTTCCACAGTGTGACCTGAGAGATAATTTTAGGGGGTATACATTAAAACTTAACGTTATTTAAATGTTATCTGTTTCAGAAGAAATTTAGTGTATACTAGAAAAAACATTTCTAGCGTTTGAGACCATGAGATTGTAAAAATTATTTCATAAGTCAGGGTTGAAGAAACTAAGTTGATTTAAAGATGGTCTAAAGAAAAGTATTATGTAAATAAAGGCCTAGAGGGTAGGCAGCCAGGATAGGGGCTGTGTAGGTGGTAAGAGAGCGCCTGACGTCTGGGAAACACTCTGTGTGCCCCCTCTCACTGAACATTACAGCCGAGGAGACTGGAGGCCCTTAGGAAGAGCGGCTTGGGAAGTTGGGGACTTGTCGGAGGTCAGATGATAGTAACAGCCTTGCCCTTTACTGAGCCCCTGCTGGGTGGTGCTAAGCAGTCTCCTGTCTCCTCATTTTAACTGGGGCTCAGGGCAGGGCTGGAATCTAAGCCACCTTGGATGTAGCCTTTTCGACTGTCCCGCCCTGGGCCTCTGGCTGCCAAGTGGCCTTGGACAGGCCCAGGGGAATCCTCTCTTCATCCTGGGAAGAGCCTAGGTCTGGCCCCCTAGACCTGCCTCTTGAGTGTACCCTGCCACTCTCATACCGTGTGACCCTCAGTTACTCAGATTTGCTTCCTTGACCCAAGTAAGGGGATGATGCCTGCCTTCTCTGTTTCATGGGGGATGTGCATGGGAAACCGAGGGAGTAAGAGTGGAGAGAGAATGCACCCCTTCAGCAAGCTCTGTGCAAGTGCACGATGGCCCTGAATCCCCCGCCTGTAAGGCAGGGCTGGGTTCTAACTTGTTCTTAAGTCGGGAAGGGCCTTTCCTAGCCATTCATGATCAGACTGTGAAGAGTAGGTGACGTGTGATTCCGGAGCAAGATGGAGGAAGGAGTGGGAGCCCTTCCCTCATCAGTCACGTGTGTCTCCAGACAATGGGGAAAAGCCTCCTTTGTGTGGCAGGAAAGGGGTTATTTTGGTCAAGCTTTGATCGTTAGCGAACTCTGACCATGACCATGGAGGCTTGAAAAGCAATGTCTTGATGGCCGGCGGCCAGCAGTGTCAAAGAGTCGAGGATGCGGGGGTTAGAAGAGAAATGCCTTGCTTGATGTACTTTGTCTTTTTGGAAGAGCTCAAGCCCCTTTCGTCATGCTCAGAGTCCTCAACCAAAAGGGGCTGGTCTTCAGTCCCCAGACACAGTGAGGTGGGTCCTGAGTGGGGGGGGTCTGCAGATGACGTGTGATGTGCCAGGCGAAGAGGTGATCGCCTTGGTCTTGGGTGTGTGGAGCCAGGCTTGATTTCCCACATGACTCCTTTCGCTCCTAGGACCATCGATGCTGTATGCCTTACACTCCCATCTGCATCGCCAAAGCTGTGAAGAATTCTGCCGAATCAGAAGGCATGAGGCGAGCCCACGTGAGTCAAGCAGCCAGTGCAGAGGAGGAGGTGTATGGGGGTCAGAAGGCCCAGGCCCTCCCCTGCTGCGTGGCTTTGAGCCTGGCACGAGGTCGGAAATGCTTTGAGCCTTGCAGTGTTAATGAGAGAATGAGATGGCCCTTTCCTGGTTGTGCCCGAGCTGTTGAGCAGCCCAGGAGCCCTGTCTCTGCTGGTGGGAATTGCTGCAGGCTTGATTGCAGGGAGCTCCTGCGTGGAAAGCTCCGATGGCTGGTGGTTGTGCCCTGTGGGTCTGGCTTTTTCAGTCCCGCGTTGGGGTAGGCTCTGAATTTGCCCAGCTGATTTTCAGTAATAACTCTTTTAAAAAAAGTCTCTGTTGTTTCCACAGATTAAAGATGCTGTTGCCCTCTGTGAACTCTTTAACTGGCTAGAGAAAGAGGTTGGTTCTTAGTCTTTGTTTAACACGTGGGTGGCCATTATTCAGAAACTGTCAACATGTGATTCTAACCATGGCCCCCTCCGTGCTCTGGTGACCATGAGGTCCAAGGTCTTGATCTAATTTTAGGACTCTTCTCTTGGTAGTTCTTCCTGGAAATTTGGTGTTATTTAGAATTTTTTTTTATTTGTAGAAAATAGTAATACAGATGAGGAAAGAATTTCCTTAACTGAGAGGATTCTTTCTGGGTCAAGGCATTGTCCTATAACTAAGTGGGATTTCATTATAAGGAAAAATGGCTCAAAATAATATTATCGGCAAGTTGACTGTATTAAGAGGAAAAGGTCTTTGTGTACATTTTGGACTTCAGTTTAAGGTGTAAAACCTTTGATAGTAGATTGACCCTTGGCCATTAGTTGCTTGCCTTTTCATTCCTTTTGGTCGACAGCAGGGGATTCTTTGTGTTGTTGTTGAACAGTCTCATGTTCCCTTTAAATATTACATAAACAACTCTTTAAAAGTTGCTTAAATGGAAAAAGAATATCACCCTCACTCCCACCTGTGTAACTAGCTTATTCCCTCTGGCTGGTGTTCTTCTGTGTAAATCATTTTTACGTGTCTCTCAGTGTATAGATGTGATTTTGTATTTTGCTTTATTCACTCTGTACCATAGTGTGAGCCTTCTCCACGTGCTTGGAGGCCTTTAGAAAAGGATCCAAATGGTAAAAGCGTTGTGTGGTGACAGATGGTAGCTACACTTGTGGTGAGCACAGCATAATACAGAGATGCTGAATCACCGTGTCATATACCTGAAACTAACATCGCATCGTGTGTCAGCTCTATTCGCATTAAAAAAAAAAAAATATGGATCCAAGTAGAGAGGTTGCATTTCGTGGTTAGACCCATTTGCCATTCCTCCTGTTTTCAAATGTTGAGATCATTTTTAATTTTTTTTTTTTGCTATTATCAATCACCCTGTAATAATATCTTTGCATATTTATCTTCTTTATTTATTTAGGATAACTTTCTTAGGATGATATCCTAGCAGGAGATGCCTTTGAATTGTAGCTGAGTGAGAAATTGAAAGGATAGAAATCCTTCTAGTTTAGGTAGCTTTGATGAGAGTCTTTGGAAATTCCCTCCTTGTTAAAGATGAGCCATCAGCTGTGTCTCGTAGGTGGGACAGTGGGCACGTGGGAAGTGAGGACAAAATAGGCCTTTAATGCAACCCCTTTACCTTGTATGAAGCACATGAATTTATCACCCCAGATGATTTATAAGCAACTCCCTCGTAGGTGCCCAAAGGTGGTGTGACCGAGATCTCAGCTGCTGACAAAGCCGAGGAATTTCGCAGGTAAAGATCCGTGTGTGGCGGGAGTTGCTGAACATTGTGGTTGTTTCTCTTGTGAGTTAAATGAGGCTGAGAGGGCCCTGATTCTCAGCATGGTAAAATCCTTTAAGCCGGACTGCTCTCTGTGTCTTTCTGTTCTAGGCAACAGGCTGACTTCGTGGACCTGAGCTTCCCGACGATTTCCAGTACGGGACCCAATGGCGCCATCATTCACTACGCGTAAGGCATGCGGAGTTGCTCTCTGCCTGGCTTTGCTGCTGCTTCTGCACGGGAGCCTGAGCAGGGGAGAGACAGTATTTGACCTGAGGCCCTAGTGCCCACTTCCTTGTGTCTGTTGAGACTGTTCTTAGATGGGGACTTGTTTTCTCTCGTTGCCTCTAAATCTCCAAGTCTCTGCCTTTCGGGAGCCTCCTCTGAGGCCCAGGTGTATGGCGTTGACCTTCTCCATGAGGTAGTCAGACGGGTTGTCCCCCTCTTTGCCTTCTGAGGCAACTGAAGCTGTATTCCGTAGCTCTTCATCATGGTGAGCGGACTATTTTAGTGTTTCTCTTTCCTGATAATGGCAGCATTCCTGATGCATGAGTCCAGACATCTTGTGAGCTCTGTCACCTCCATACTTAAAAACTTAGCACTAGGTTGTGGAGCATTGTGTTGTGGTGAGGGAGGTGATCAGCACCCTTTCATCCCTCCCTGCGGGCTTGAGGCTGGGCTCCCAGCCTATGGGGAATTTCAGCAGATGAGCTCCAAGAGCCTGTGGATTCACAGAGTGGAGCATTCTCTGTGCTGTGAGACAGGAGGGGCACTGATAAGTTTAGAACTCAGTTGCCTGCAGAGACGGTGGGAAATGGAACTTGGCTTGGCCATTGGGTGCCAGCTTCAGATTCGCCCAGTTGAGTGGTTTTGCCTAGTGTTGGGCATTTTGAGTTCTTTGCTCCATGTCTGTGATGTACAGTCAGTGGAGGAACACTTGGTCTTTCGCACTGTGCCATACACAGGTGGAGATCCTCCCCCCTTCTAATAATTGCTTTTAGAGCTTTTAGTCTTGGGGCACATTTTGAACCTGTGTGTGGGAGACCGTCACAGATGTGATTGTGCAGTTCTCTCCTAGTAATGCTTCTGTTCCAAAATTAAAATATAAAAAGGACTTCAGTTTTTGTCTTCTGTTTAATTCAGGTGATGAATTTCTTGGCTGGATACTACCCTAGAATTTTGCATGTAATTAACACATTAAAAAATTTCAGCTCAAGTGGGGAGAATTCTGCTTCTACTTTGACATTTTTTCGCCGTGGGCTGTTGGAAGCCTGTTGAGAAGCGGGGCCTAGAGCTGGTTCCAGTTGTTCAGCTGGAGTGATCATCACTGATGCCCTTTGTGCTGAAGAGAGGGGGTGGGTGGTGCCTGGAAATGAAGGAGTCCTTCTTTCAGCTGTGAAGGACTGTCTGGAAATGGCATGGGGAAATCAGATCACTTTTTAAAAATACTTCTTGTTCGTTTAAAAAAAGTGCTACGGCATAAGAACATTGTGATTCACTCGTTTTCCTAATAAAAATGTTTGTCTGTCTGGGGGTCTGGGAAGCACATGGGGCCTGGTTCGCCCCCTCCCCCCGACCCCCAGCCACAGAGACAGATGACTTGTCGCTGCTGTGTTCCCAGTTCTCAGGATTCTAGCTTGGTCCTCTTGCATCTAATGATTATTATTTTTGTAACTTTTACAACCATTTCATGAAACTGTTTTGTTCCAGACACAAATGGAGATAGATACAAAGAAATACATTATTATTCCTTCTCTTGAGCTCTTTATCCAGTTGGGGAGATAGCCAGACTGGATCACTGAGTAGTTCTAGAAGATTAAATTATTTGAAATAATCAATTTGGTGGGTAACTTTTAATTTTGATATACTTTCAGACCTATATAAGTTGTAGGAATAGTATAAGGAAGTTTTATACGTCTCCTCTCAGATTCAGCAAGTACATTTGTGGAATAATTAATTTTTAATTAACTTTCTTAGGCCAGTCCCTGAGACGAATAGGACGTTGTCTCTAGATGAAGTGTACCTGATCGACTCGGGAGCCCAATACAAGTAAGTGAACTAGGGCTGCCATAGAGGGGGATGGTGCTGGGTCAAAAAAGTTGAATAGGGGGCAAGCCAAGCTCCAGCCAAGGGCACCCAGATGGGAATCTCACTGTGCGCCAGCCCCTAATGGAATCCTTCTCATGTCTTGTCCTTTTTTTCACCCCTGCTTGAAGTTATCCAGTGGTGACTCTTGTCACAAAAGACTGTTTGATAGAAATGTTTAGTTCTTGGCCGGAAGTTGTTAAATACTAAATAAATAACTGAAAGCAAGCTTTCGAAACCACTGGAAAGACTTCTGCTCTAGTTCATAAACTGCCTGTTAACTCTGCACTTGCAGTGGCCTCCTGACTTTGGGAAGTGGGGGATTAATTTTAAATGAGTAAATGAGAAATTAGGGTTGCCCCTGAATTTCTGAATTTCCATCTTCATGTCTCGCTGCTTTCATATTCCTCCTCTAGAAAGTTTCTCAGAGGAGAACCCAAGATTTGGCTGGGTCTTGTTGTGGAACCATGGAAGGAGCTGGAATGGGTGTTGTCGGCACTAAGAGAGCACGGGCAGCCACTGCATTTGGGACTGTGGTTGATGGAAAGCCTGATTATTTTTTTTATTTTTAAAGATTTTATTTTAGGGAGAGGGAGAGACAGCACGAGAGCAAGAGCAGGGGGAAGGGCAGAGGGAGAAGGAGGGGAAAAGATTCTCAAGCAGACTCTGCTCTGAGCGCAGAGCCCTATGCAGGGCTCCATCCCATGACCCTGAGATCATGACCTGAGCCAAAACCAAGAGTCAGGTGCTTAGCCGACTGAGCCACCCAGGTGCCCCTGGAGAACTTGATTATTAAGCGGGCTCTGCCACATGGGTGGAAACCATAGCCTAGCCTTGGGACACGTGTGTGTTTGTATTCATAATATAACATCTTAGAGCTCAGGGTATTAATTGGGTAACTGGTGTAAATTTTGGTTCATGTCTAAATTTTAGCAGGATTTCAGAAGTTACTCTTTCTATGTCAGTATGGATTAGTGCTTCTAAGAGAGGTCTTTGGGTAATTGTAGGGTCCACTCCTTTGCTGTCCTGATGGGCGGAACTAGAGCTTGGCCCCCTTTTGCTAGAAGCAGGCTCCTACTTGCTCCGATTTCCTTTTCCTCCGCCCTCTCATTTATAACCCCATGATCGTGTCACCCATGAGACAGGCCTCACACTGCAGACCAAGAGTGTGTGTGTGTGTGTGTCAGGACCTGACTGAGTTCACTCTCACTACCTATGGCCATCCTTGCTCTCACACTTTGTCTCATTAAGAAAAGGATTTATGTATTTATTTTAGAGAGAGCACAAGCAGGAGGGGCAGAGGGAGAGAAAATCTCAAGCAGATTCTGTGCTGAGCACCGAGCCAGACACAGGGCTTGATCTCACCACCCTGAGATCACTACCTGATTCCAAACCAAGAGTCTGATGCCTAACTGACTGTACCACCTAGAGTCCGCTGAGCCAAAGCTTATTTTGAGTGAAAACTAATTTGTCCTTTCCTTTGGAAAGGGATGGGACGACAGATGTGACACGGACCATGCATTTTGGGACCCCCACAGCTTATGAGAAGGTAAGGTGGGGCAGAAAACTGGAGAGCCCTCTCTGTTTTCTTAAGAACAGCATTGCTCTCATGAAAAGGAATTGTATAATGAAGAGAAATTTATATGTGGGATAGTAAAATAGCTCATTACTGTGGAGTCAGGCTTATCTGCTTTATGATGTCCATTTAATTAATTACTGGAGAAATCTTAAAAGCATTCTGTCTGCTAAGGTCAAAGCAAGTCAAAGTCAAGTTTAAACAGAGTCAGTGTTCTCGAATCAGGAAATCTCTTTGGGGATGGGAGTGGGATAGTGAAATGTATACTTTTTACAAACAACGTCTAGATTTGATTCTGAAAGCTACCTCCCCCTTCTCTTTTCAAGTTCAGCATTTCCACTTACAGGTTTAGCTCAGGAAGCCTCTAAAATGGTTTACACTGCTCAGTTTCTGGTCTGTCTGGCCTGGAGAGGTAGAGATGGCGGTGAGGTAGGAGTCTGGAGACCGGACTTCAGGTCCTTCTGCTGTTTGCTGGCTCTGTGACCTTGAGTAAAGCACTGAGACACATCCATAAACGTGGGGATACGAGTACCTGCCTCCAAGGCTGGTTATAAAGGTTCCACGACCCTTGCAAATTCCCAGATCAGTCACTAACCCAGGAATGCTGGTTGAGTCCCTGAGTGAGTCTGTTTTTCTAGGAGCTCCTGCAGGGAGTTTATCCAAAGAAGAGAGTTTCACACAGTGCAGCAGAGCACACTTCATACTTTTAGTCCTGTGCCTCATCTGTTTGCAGGCACGAGCGCCTTAGAAGAATCTGACCTTGGCTCCACATACCTTTGGTATGACTCTCTCCATGCTGGGTACAGAGCTCCCGACCAGCTCGAGTGTGTGGGTTTAGTCCTGGCTCTGCGCCTTCCTGGCAAGCCCCTAACCTTCCAAGCAGCACTTTTCTTCTTCAGGCAGTAGGGATTTCCCGAGTCTAAGATCAGGAAGGGGTACAGATACTGCTGCAGGACTGCCTGGCTTCAAGGCCAGCCGTTGCTCCTTAAGAACTACGCCGTCCGGCAGGCTAGTTAATTTCTCTGTCGAGTGGAGATGACAGCAGCATCTCTGGCATCCCTCGTGGGATTAAGGGTTCAGTGCTCAGTACCATGTCTGGCCCGGAGGAGTAGCTCGGTGACTTGTTAGCTGGTGACATCAGCAGTTCTGTGACTTTTGCTCATCTTTCTCAGGTGCAGCTGGAGTGTGTCAGAATGTTCATTTCAAGGGAAGGACCTGTGGGGTCATCTTTGATGGTTCTCTTTTAACTAAATTTAATTTCAAGATTTTCTAGAAAATCGGTCCCATGGGCAAGCTTTTTTTTTTTTCCCCCACCAGAGTTTTTTCTTTTTCCTCCGATTTTCTCTGTGGTATTGCTAATAACCTTCAGAAGCAAGGTTTTCTGAGCTGCCGGAAAGCTCCAGGACTGAAGTGTCTGTCCTCGTTCTACAACTTGCCCCTGGGTTTTTTTTTGGCAGGAATGCTTCACATATGTCCTCAAGGGCCACATAGCTGTGAGTGCAGCCGTGTTCCCGACTGGAACCAAAGGTAGGTGGTTCCTTCTGTCATCTGGCAGGCGTTTTCTTGTTCAGGCACCAAACATGTCTAAATTTGAGTGGAAGGACGTGTCCTTTGTTTCATGGCAGCCCTGGCCCCTTTAGGCCCAGCCAGGGCAAGTGCTGCGTGGAGTGAGTGCCTCCCAGGGAGCCAGGCCTCGGTTTGGTATGATGTCAGTTGTGTACCTCTCTCCTGCCCACCTGAGGTGTCAGATGACACAGGCAGATGGCTCCTAGGAGAGGGTGGCTAGCGCATGAAGGCCTCTAGGCCCAAGTGCAAGTTGGTTGGTGCACCCTATTCACTGTCCTGCTTTGCTGGGCCATTGTCTCCTTTTGGGATGCTTGTCGGGATTTATTTTACTGGGAACCTGACTTCAGATATATACCAGTCTGCCTGAGGACTGATGGATGGGCATTGGGCAGGGAGTTGACAAGACCTGGGCCTTGAATCTGCTTAGATCGGGTCTGCACTCATCTCCCTGGACATCTGTTTCCTTGCAGTCTGGTTAGAGTCTCATCTTTGTCATTCTGAAACCTCAGGGTCCCAGCCTGGGAAGGGAATGTGTCTGTCACCCATACCCTTAGCTGCTGCAGGCGACCAGCCCCTGTACTGGCTTCCTGGACAGATAGACCTCCAGCTTCGGACTGAGCTCTGGCGGGTTGGGGAGTGGCTGTCTTAGGAGCTGTGACTGTTAGTTCTTTCTTGTGCTGGGTTGAAATCGGAACCCTCCAGTAACTTTTACCCTCTGGTTTCTGTTTCACTTTCTGGAGCCAAACATAATAAATCTAATATCTAAAGTGCTTTGCAAATTGAAAAGTACTGGACAGATATCACTGAGTGGTTCTTTATGTGTCTTTCAGGACACCTTCTTGACTCGTTTGCCCGCTCAGCTTTGTGGGATTCTGGTCTGGATTACCTGCACGGAACGGGACACGGTGTTGGATCTTTTCTGAATGTTCATGAGGGTCCTTGTGGCATCAGTTATAAAACGTTCTCTGATGAGCCCTTGGAGGCAGGCATGATTGTCACTGATGGTAAGTGTCCCTCCCATCCAGGGTGGGCGCAGGTCTTCGAGTCTGTTGGAAGGCTCTCTGTTGTTTCTTAGCTTTTGATTATCTTAAAGTAAATTGGATATAATTTCCCCCTCTGGTCACCTTGAATTAAACAAGAACAACAACTTTTTACAATTATAAAAGTGATGCGTGCTCATTTTAGAAAAGGTGAGGCTGTGGGTGGCAAAAAAAGGAAAATCATTTGTAATCCAGCCACCCAGGTGAGATCTTCCTTCATATTTTGATGTGTTAGCTTTGGGTCTTTCATATATGTATATATCTTTTCTCCTAATCATTCAGATTATACCGGATGTATTGTTTGTATTCAGCTTTCTTAACTTGATGTACTTCCTTTTCCCAGGTCATTACCAGATCTCTTTGCATATATTTTAATGCCTGCCTCGTTATGTCTTAGGAATAAGCACCGGACTTGTTTGGTCGATCCTCTGTTACTGACTCCCGGCCCTGGCGCCAGTTCTCAGGCACTTTAGAATCTTTCCGTCTGTTCCTTGAGGACCTGTTGGAAGTGGCCGTGTGGGAGGCAGAGGTGTCTCTGGGCTCTTGCCCCGGAGCTGAGCGGGCTGTTGGCCTGCCTCTCCTCCTCCTTCATGGTGGGGCTCTCATCGCAGGAATGAGTGCTTCTCGCCTGTGCGGGCCTGTTTGTCACTGGCCGCTTCTCATCTCTGGGTTTGATTTCTTTTAGAGCCAGGCTATTACGAAGATGGGGCTTTTGGAATTCGCATTGAAAATGTTGTCCTGGTGGTCCCTGTGAAGACCAAGGTAGGTAATGGTCTGTTTATTTTTAAATTTTCCTTGTTTCTTAATGAGGGAAGATGAACGAGGCTGTCTGTGTCTGGAGCCAAGAATGTGCCATTCTGGAGCCAACATGGAGCTTCCTCCCCCTGATATCGGAGAGTCTCCTAGAAATCACTGTCCTCGGCAGAAGCCAGAAGGAAACTCCGGAATGAACTGGGACCCAGAACTGGAATTCCTGGGGTGCCAGGCAGGCCCCTGCCTGATGGGATTTGGGGCTTCTTGTCACGATGCTTCCTCTACGTCAGGGGGACATGTGCTGGGGATGGGGGAGTGCTTGTTTGAAGGCCCGTCCCAGACCCAGACCCAGGGCCAGGGCCTGGAAACTGTATTTTCAACAAATGCCTCAGATGATTTCTGTCGGGTAAAGCTGAGGGGCCCGGCGGGTCGGGCCCCATAGGCTCGTGATTAGATGGGTCTGTTTCCTTCCGGAAGACAGGCACTTCACCTTCTCCCCTTCACCGTTACCAAGAGGTGCCAGGGTTTAGGTGCTAGGCTTTAACTAGAGACCCGTTCACTCCTCTTCTGTGGGTGGTGGTGGAAATCGAATAGTTGGAGGCAAGTGGCGTCCTCAGCCTGCAGGCTTCTGTTCTCTGCTTCCACATCGAAGTCACCGTCCTTGAGAGTGGCCTCTCCCCTCACTCCCAGAGGCCTTGCCAGGAGCAGAGACCAAGCACACTCTCAGGTGCCCTGGCCATTCTGTACTATGTAGAATGGACAAACCTGTTATCTGTCACCAGATGGGACTGGCTCGTCGAGGGAGGACACATGATTTACTGTTAAATAAAAGTGATGTTGGGGACTTACGCTCTAGTAGAGTCTTGAGAACCAAAAGCAGTGATGCCCCTTGTCTAGACACCGCCATGCCCTGCCCCTACTGCTGCTCCATCACAGTGGACGTTAGCCTGGGGACCTGCTGCTCAGAGCCCCTCGGCTTTTCCCGAAGGCAGCTGTTGACAGAGCGGGGCAGCTTCAGGACGGTGGCTTCAGCTGGGTTCATTGTGCCTCCTGGGCCTACTGGAGATGCCGACCAGCAAACCCCGTTTTGGTTCCCAGTCACACACCTGGCCCTGGGGGGTGGTCATGTCTGGGGGGAATGACTCCATGGTGGCTCTCTGTGGTAAGAGAGGAGTAAAAGCTTCTGTTTTCTTCCTTTTCCAACAGTATAACTTCAATAACCGGGGAAGTCTGACCTTTGAACCTTTAACTTTGGTTCCCATACAGACCAAGATGATAGATGTGGATTCTCTAACAGACAAAGAGGTAATGAGGGTGGCTTGGAGGAGACAGAGTGGGACTGGGGTGGAGAGCTACCTTCCATTCTCTTGTCTGTTCCCACTTTTTACTTCAGAGGGCTGTGCCACCTGAGTCTGAAAATCCGAGGTCTCCTGAGGACTGTAGATGCTTCTCCTGTATTTGTTGGCTCTCCAGGTAGAGCTAGTCCATCCTGCACCATCGGGGGGTGGGGTGGGGGCGCTGTAAGGTTTCACGAGTAGGATTAGTTCGCCATTGCTTTCCTTGAGGACATGAGCCATAGCTGCGCTGGGGAGCGTTCAACAAACCGTGGGCCATGCGTCTTCCCTCTGAAAAGCCAGATGGGTGGTAGGGCCTGTTGGCCATTGCATATACCAGATTGTTTTCTCATGTTGAATGAAACATTAAGGGAATGAAAAGCAAAATCTATTATCATATGCCCAGTTGTCACACAGACAAGGAGAGAGATGGTGCCTCCTCTTCTGGTCACTCCGGGCTGTGAAGCTCTTCATAAAGCTAGGAGCCCAGTGGTGCTCACTCTCAGGCTTAGAGTGATGCAGGTCATGAAACCCCTTCAGACCCTGTGCTGGGTCCCAGGCCCACGAGGCCAGGTGAGGTGGCGGGTCTCGGGACCCGGATAAGGCTTATGGGATCAGGCAGGTGATCAAAATCAGAGCAGAGACGGGGCCAGAAACTGGGTGGTAACAGTCAGCACTGGACAGACCAAACAGTTTCCAAGCCAGGAAGACAGAAGCCAGAAGGACACAAGTTTCAGAGCAAGGCAGGTGGTCAGAAGTCCCTGCAAACTTCAGATGATTGATGGGAGCCGAGGGCGGGACAAGCATGGCAGGTCACTGTAGGAGTAAGTTTTGTTACCCAGTCCAGCCCCTGGCCTCACCCCAGGGGCGGTGAAGTGCCTCTTCAGGCATCCTCCTTGGTGTGCCCTCATGCTTGGCACGAGAGAAAGGTGCCTCTGAGGCTCAAGGAGGCCCCTTCTGTTGGACTGTGGAATGGGATTCTCCCAGCCAGAAGCTGCTTCTGCCTGATCCTGCTCACAGAGGGGTGACAGAAAAAGGTCATCTGCTTCCTGCTTAGCATGGGCACCTCTGCTTAACCTTGCTTGGGCAGCCAGACACCCCCACGCAACGAGGCCGACTGATGCGGGTTTGTTTATTCAGCTTGTTGATGGCGCTGGGCGGGAAACAGCCTGTTAGTGGCCCAGTGTCCGGTGTGGGTCTGGCAGAAAGAGTCTTTCCAGCGGTCCCTGGCTTAGGGGAAGGGGGACAGGAACACATGAGCAGGCATGGAAGCCACTTGCTTGAATCCTTTGTGCACCACAGGAGCCGGGGTCTCTTCTCATGGCCTCAGGTACAGCTTCCAGGGTCTCAGCAAGGGACCCTCCAAGTACGAAGTCACTTTGCTCTTGGAAGCCCAGGGCTGTGGCTTCCTACTATAGCTCTAGGTCGTGCAGTCCCTGCTGCCACATGCAGTGTACTCACCAGGAGGCATTCCTCCCAGCGACAATCCACTTTATCTACAGAAACAGTGCGTGAGGAAGGTTGAGTGAGGCCATTCTTCCCTGAGGGAGAAATTTTGTTAACCTGACTCAGTGCACCCCATGACATTGAACAGGGACCCGTGGGCTCTGTCGTAGTCAGTGGTTCATTACTATACCCTGCGTAGCCGAATCACTGAACTCTTCTTTCTGCCAAGTAGTTTTATGGGGCAGATAATAGCTTCTTTCCTTAGATCATTAGCAAGTTCCTACAAATAACAGTAGATGCATTTAACATACCAAGCAGAGTACATTTATTGTCTCTTTTAGCAAAAAAAAAAGAAAATCTCCTTCTCTATATTACTTAATAACTCTGGGGCTTCATTCTGTCAGAAGGCACAGTAATACCCCACAACCAGAGTCTCTCCAGTTGGCTTTTAAAATACTTGGTCATGTCCTTTACCGTCTCCCAAATAGATTGTTTTCAGTGACTTTTGGGACTTTTAGGGGTTGCATCCCCATCATTTATCAGAGGTGGCAGCTGAGGACTTCGGTCATGAACATGGGCTGCTGCACATTCTCGGGGCCTTGGGATGTTGGTCAGGGCCCCCTGAGGGTGTGCGTACAACTCAAAGGGTCTTGGGAGTGTCACCTCGGCTCCAGAGTTGGCTGCTTTGGACCGCTGGCTGTCTTCTAGCCCTGCCTGACCCATAGCACTTTGCTTGCTTTTCGCTCCCTGCCCTGCTCCCCAATTCCCAGTAGGGGCCAATAGGTTCTCCCCAGTGGGGAGTGGAGCCCTGGGGGGTTCAGAGCCTTGGCTATACCACTGCATCTGTCTGCCCATCTCAGCCCCTGAGCTCGTCCGTGGTACCTGGTCCAGACTGGAGTCCCCAGTGCCCGTGCTTTTGTAACACTGCTGCCTTCCCAGGTGGCGTGTGGGTCATTGCAGCGGCAGCACGGATGGCGGTGTCTGTCTTGCCCGCTTCACCGCAGCTGAGTGTCGGGGCGGGCCCACTTCCTGGCCAGTGAAGAGAACGGGTGGTCGTCCTCTGGGTAGAACTTGCTTCACTCCCGCCCTGCCCCAGCGGAGAGAATTCACCCTTTTATGGCGCAAAACTATCGCCAGAGTGGATCCACCCCAACCCAGGCGCCAAGTCCTGTCAGACCTCCTTCCTTCTTACCTCTTTTTAAAACATCTGCTGGGGCGGTGGGCATGTTCTGTCAAGCATCTGAAGGTTAAGCTCCCGGCCCCACCCTGCAGCACCACAGCCCTTGGTTACCAGAGGTTTGGGCTGCGTCCAGATAGCCACCCACGGGGGCTCGGCTCATCCTGGTTTACGCAGCTTTGTCAGTGGAAACTCAGTGCATTGGTGGGACACCTTCAGGTGTGTCTCTTAGCAGATGTCTTACTAGGCATCTAGGGGCTAGTTTTCAGCCCCCCTCTCCTCTACTGCCACCCCAAGATGGCTGAGGTATAAGGGAAGGAGGCCACATGGGTGGGTGTAGGACCTACCAGACTCCCTGCCCCGTCCCTCCCATGGTGTCCTGGGGGGCCTGTTGGGAAGTATAACTGGGTACAGGTTACTCTGCACTTTGGAAGCCCAAAGCCATGACTTGCTCTCAGGAATTAAAGTTTCTTCACAGTCATTGCCGGTCCACTGCACTAGACTATTCTGGAAGCATTTTACCATAAGCAGTGTGGCCTTGTCCCCTCAATTTCAAGGGAAATGGAGCCCAAGGAAGTCACTTGTCCCTGAGCAGGGAGAAAAGGTTTTGTGTATCTCTGCCCTCAACTCGTGATCTCTGTGCCTGGGGGCCTCTCCCTGTTTGCCTGTGTAGCCTTTGCGAGAGGTGTGAACACTGCCTGTCTTTCTCCCATCTTGTAGTGCGACTGGCTCAACAGTTACCACCTGACCTGCAGGGAAGTGATTGGGAAGGAGCTGCAGAAGCAGGGCCGCCAGGAAGCTCTCGAGTGGCTCATCAGGGAGACGCAGCCCATCTCCAACCAGCACTAATGCCTCATGGTTTTTGTTTTTGTAAAACGCTCTGGGGAAGGGAAGAAACCTGGCAGATCCCTGACATCTGTCCCCTTTCCTCTCCCTTACTTCCCCTTTTTACTTTGAGATTCTAAGAAGGACTGAAAATCTTCTTATCCTCTTTGATATTTTCTTGCAAACACTCAATCTTTTATGATTTTTTTAATTGTTGAGAACTAGCCAAGAATAAAATAGCTGCACCAGAAGGAGGGTCCCCGCAAAGCGGAACACTCGAGCAGGGGAGATGCCCTGAGCAGCCACAGGGAGTTCTTTGGCCAGTGATGGTGAAACACTGAGTTGACACTGATGGTCAAGTTCCAGGTGCTAGTACATTATTCATGATCACCTTGATTCATGAGACTGTATTTATGATCAGTGAATAAAATGTCCGAATGTGCTTTGTCTCAGCCGTGTCTTTCCTCTCAGCACTGTCTACACCGCATCTTAGGGGAGCTCATCTCCAGGGCTGGTGGCCTTTGGGGGAGACATTGTCTAGACAGAAGGTCCCCTTTGAGGAGAGATCCCTGGCCTCCCCACATATTGTCTGGCTTAATTGGAAAGCATTTTTCTTTTCTCTGGAAAACTTAATATTTTGGTGAGTATAATGTTGAAAGTGAGTGGTCCACACTGTGTTACATGTTGTGTGTTCTCCCCTTGCCCCCCACCATGGCACCATAGCACCACAGCCCTCATGTCTCCTCACTCGTACATAGCGCTCTGTGGCAAGTGCCTGCGACTCCCCATCCATGGGGACTTTCACACTTGGGACAGTCCCAAAGATCTGATGTCCCTGTGACCTCAGACCATCGTGGTTGGGTATGGGAGAACAGACTTCCTCATCCCTTGGCTGGGATGTCTGAGGTGTGGTCTATACTGTCTCATGCAGCTGCTCAGTGGGATGGAGCCCCATTGCCCACCATGGTTAACTTGTTACAGAACACACTTTTACTTTTTCCTTTCCTTCTGTGTTTCACTTCACCTTTTTTCCCACTGGTATTTCTTAGGGCCATCCCCCAATAAACCAATTGCATATAAATCCTTGTCTTAGGGCCTGCTTTTTTTTTTTTTTTTAAAGATTTATTTTTATTTATTTATTTGACAGAGAGATCATTAGGCAGAGAGGCAGGCAGAGAGAGAGGGGGAAGCAGGCTCCCTGCCCAGCAGAGAGCCTGACGCGGGACTTGATCCCAGGATCCTGAGATCATGACCTGAGCCGAAGGCAGAGGCTTAACCTACTGAGCCACCCAGGTGCCCTGGGCCTGCTTTTTTTTTTTTAAAGTTTTTTTTTTTTTTTTTTTTTATTTACTTGTCAGAGAGAGTGAGCACAGGCAGACAGAGTGGCAGGCAGAGGCAGAGGGAGAAGCAGGCTCCCTGCTGAGCAAGGAGCCCCATGTGGGACTCGATCCCAGAACGCTGGGATCATGACCTGAGCCGAAGGCAGTCGCTTAACCAACTGAGCCACCCAGGCGTCCCGGGCCTGCTTTTTTTAAGGAACCCACCCAAGACATAACCTGGAGATAACAGCTACTAATCTGCTATATATTTTCTCCAGTTTCTTTCTTTGTGTTAAGTGTTCAGTAACATATAGAGCAAGTATATGTGCGTAAATGAGTATGTATGCAGAAACTGATACAACATTGTGTGTCAATTTTATGTCAATGAAAAAAAGTGAAAAAAAAATTAGAGATAACTGCTTCCAGTCTGAATTTAACACTGAACATCAGAAATGGAAAGGTATTTGACTGAATTGATAGCAGTATATACATACAATGTAAATCTAGTTTTAATCTATTAGAAAATTCACATTGTGTTTGGTTTGATGGATTAATTAGTAACTTTAAAAGTATGTCTTCCTCTTCTCTACTGCCAAGATGGAATGATCAGTTCAAAACTCAGATATCAGATCTCTGAAACTGAGGGAAATTTAAAAAATACATGAGTATTTTCCATTTTTGGATTTATGGTTTTAATATCTGAAAAACGTTGTAATTAAATAACCTCCTTAATTGTAAAAGAGAAAGATGTATATATACACACACAGCACATGCATATCACATGCACACACACGTCATGCATACACACACATTGGGTCATGCTATTCATACTTACCAATATGCTTTCTAACTTGGCAGTATGTCCGAGTTATTTTCTATCTTGGTGCGTGTGGATTTGACTAGTTTTGATATTTAATTGTGTGGCTAGTTCTTTTTTAAACTAGTCTCATTTAATCTTAAACCATATCTTGGATTTGGATCGCTTTGAAAGATGAATAAATAAAAGCATACTTCAGCCATCCACCAAAGAAAGCATGGTTGGCTACGTCCGCTACTTTGCAGCTGGGGAAGCAGAAAATGACGTGAGCTAATCTATTTTTACCACTCAGAACCACGGTGTCAGCAGGGAAGTTTTCACTGATATGATGAACCTTAAGTGACAGAGTGCCTTAAAACACTTGCCAGTGTTTCCTTTGTCTCTCTTATTTTCTCTGAAGGCTCTTTGGTTCCAACTTGCTGTGTGGGAGGAAGCACGCTATATGGCTGGTTCTGAGGTGGTATTTGTGATGTGGACCCAATAACAGGACTGTCTTGATCCCCCAGAGATGATTCTTGAATGTGTTTAACACTTGCTCCTATTTCTGTGTCCCATAGGATTGTTCTTTTTTTTTTTTTTTTTAAAGATTTTATTTATCTGACAGAGATCACAAGTAGGCAGAGAGGCAGGCAGAGAGAGAGGAGGAAGCAGGCTCCCTGCTGAGCAGAGAGCCCGATGGCGGGGCTCGATCCCAGGACCCTGAGATCATGACCTGAGCCGAAGGCAGCGGCTTAACCCACTGAGCCACCCAGGCGCCCCCCATAGGATTGTTCTTAAAAGAAGTTTCTCCTTCAATGACAGGATGTATTAATCATTTTTGTCCTCCATCATGCTTCTAAAAGTTAGAAGACCCCCTGTTCTGACTCAGACCATGATCTCCTCTGCTCCCCCAGAGGGGTTTCTTTTCTCAGAAAATGGGGAGCTGTGGATTGCAGTAGACTTGGAGTTCAAGCAGACTGTAATTCAAGTGTGACAGCAATGCCCCTGTTTGTTCCTCAGGCTGATAAGCCTGTCACTTCCCAAGGCAGGCTTAGAGCAAAGTTTGATTCAATGGGCTCAAGCCCAAGGAGCAAAGGTTTCTGGTCCTGGGTGCCTGGCGCTTCCTGCCTGGATCTGCATGTCATGGCCTGAAGTCCAAGAGACAAAGTGGGCATAGCTGATCCCAGAAAGACGGAGAACTGGAATAAAACTGCAGTGCGCAAGTCCTCAGAGGGAAGATGAGATACAGGAGAATCAAAAGACTTTACTTTTAAATAAATGATTAAAAAAAAAAAGGTTGAATGTAAAAACAGGCAGTATACTAAATTTATGGACTAAGTCCAGGGAAGTTGATTTTCTTTTTCTTTTTTTACCTTTTTTTTTTTTCATTAGCATATATTATTTGCTTCAGGGGTACAGGTCTGTGAATCATCAGTCTTACCCAATTCACAGCACTCACCACAGCATATACCCTCCCTAATGTCCGTCATCCAGTGACCACCCCCTGCCCCAGCAACCCTCAGTTTGTTTCCTGAGGTTAAGAATCTCTTATGGTTTGTCTCCCTGCCTGGTCCCATCTTGTTTCATTTTTTCCCTCCCTGCCCCCACAGCCGCCTTCCCTGCCTCTCAGATTCCTTGTATCAGACAGATCATATGATAATTGTCTTTCTCTGATTGACTTATTTTCACTTAGCATAATACCCTCTAGTTCCATCCACGTCTTTGCAAATGGCCAGATTTTGTTTTTTGGGGGGTTTTTTGGTGGCTGCATAGTATTCCACTATATTTATATACCACATCATCTTTATCCATTCATCTGTTGGTGGACATTTAGGTTCTTTCCATAGTTTGGCTATTGTGGACATTGCTGCTGTAAACATTCAGGTGCATGTGCCCCTTTGGAGCCCTACATTTCTATCTTTAGGATAAACACCCAGTAGTGTGATTGCTGCTTCATAGGGTAGCTGTATTTTCAACTTTTTGAGGAACCTCCATGATGTTTTCCAGAGTGGTTGCACCAGCTTGCATTCCCACCAATAGTGGAGGAGAGTTCCCCTTTCTCTGCATCCTTGCCAGCATCTGTCATTCTGTGACTTGTTAATTTTAGCCATTCTGACTGGTGTCAGGTGGTATCTCATTGTGGTTTTGATTTTTATTTCCCTGATGCCGAGTGATGTGGAGCATTTTTTCATGTGTCTGTTGGCTATCTGGATGTCGTCTTTGCAGAAATGTCTGTTCGTATCTTCTGCCCATTTCTTGATTGGATTCTTTGTTCTTTGGGTGTTGAGTTTGATAAGTTCTTTATAGATTTTGGATACTAGCCCTTTATCTGCTTTGTCATTTGCAGATATCTTCTCCCATTCTTTTGGCTGTCTTTTGGTTTTGTTGACTCTTTCCTTTGCTGTGCAAAAGCTTTTGATGTTGGTGAAGTCCCAATAGTTTATTTTTGCCCTTGTTTCCCTTGCCTTTGGCGATGTTTCTAGGAAGAAGTTGCTGCAGCTGAGGTCGAAGAGGTTGCTGCCTGTGTTCTCCTCAAGGATTTTGATGGATTCCTGTCTCACATTGAGGTCTTTCATCCATTTTGAGTCTATTTTTGTGTGTGGTGTAAGAAAATGGTCCAGTTTCATTCTTCTGCATGTGGCTGTCCAATTTTCCCAGCACCATTTGTTGAAGAGACTGTCTTTTTTCCATTGGACATTCTTTACTGCTTTGTCAAAGATTAGTTGGACCATAGAGTTGAGGGTTTATTTCTGGGCTCTCTATTCTGTTCCATTGATCTGTATGTCTGTTTTTGTGCCAGTACCATACTGTCTTGATGATGACAGCTTTGTAATAGAGCTTGAAGTCTGGAATTGTGATGCTGCCAACTTTGGTTTTCTTTTTCAACATTCCTCTGGCTATTCGGGGTCTTTACTGGTTCCATATAAATTTTAGGGAGTATTTGTTCCATTTCTTTTTTTTTTTTTAAAGATTTTATTTTTATTTATTTGTCAGGGACAGAGGGAGAGAGAGAGAGCGAGCGCAGGCAGACAGAGAAGCAATAGACAGAGAAGCAGGCAGAGGCAGAGGGAGAAGCAGGCTCCCTGCCGAGCAAGGAACCCGATGTGGGACTCAATCCCAGGACGCTGGGATCATGACCTGAGCCGAAGGCAGCCGCTTAACCAACTAGCCACCAGGCGTCCCTGTTCCATTTCTTTTGGAAAAAAAAAAAAAAATTGATGGTATTTTGATAGGGATCGTATTACATAATGTTTAATTGTGTAGATTGCTCTTTAGGTAGCATAGACATTTTCACAATATTTGTTCTTCCAATCCATGAGCATAGAA